TGACTAAGAGTAGTGGTACAGATACTGAAAGTCAGCAAACTGACCCGATTCCCTCCACATTTACTGGTGCTTCTAGGAAGGAGATGGTGAGTGTACCCCGTGCAGTATATGAGCAGTTCGTTCAGACATCTCAGCAGAACACCGCTACCCTTGCCCATTCAGGTATGGCTTGCTTAGCTTCTAATTCCCCACACTGGATCATTGACTCCGGAGCCTCGGACCATATGTCTGGGACCCCTAATGTATTTTCTTCCCTTTCCCGACCCTTCACATATCAAACAGTTACACTTGCTAATGGTTCTACATCTCCCATCTGTGGTGTTGGTGATGTTGATCTCTCCTYCTTGTCTTTATCATCTGTTTTATATGTTCCCAAGTTCCCCTTTAACCTTATGTCTGTTAGTAGATTAGCCAAGTCTCTTAATTGTTCTATAACCTTTTATCCCTCTTCTTGTGTGTTTTAGGATCTCAAGACAGGGATGAAGATTGGTGGAGGGCATGAGGCAGGTGGATTGTATTACCTTGATGGTGGTGGCCCTCCAGTAGCTTTTCAGTCGTCTCTTACTCCTCTTCAATGGCACTGCAGACTTGGTCATCCTTCTCTCAAGGCTCTGAAGTTGTTGGTCCCTTGAGTCATCTTTCATCTTTGGATTGTGAGTCATGTCAACTGGGGAAACATCATAGAGTCTCTTTTAGTCCAAGAGTTGATAGTCGTGTCTCGAGTCCTTTTTCTTTAGTTCATTCTGATGTCTGGGGTCCAATCAWAGTGATGTCATACAATGGCTATAAGTATTTTGTAATTTTTGTTGAAGACTTTTCAAGGATGACATGGATTTATCTTATGAAAGATTGCAGTGAATTGTTTTCCATTTTTCAAAAATTTTATACTGAAATACGCACCCAATTTGGTGTTCATATTAAAATTCTTCGCTCCGATAATGCCAAAGAGTACAGCTCATCACCATTTCAGCAATACTTAGAGCACCATGGGATAATTCATCAAACTTCTTGTACCTACACCCCACAACAGAACGGTATAGCTGAACGGAAAAGTCGACATCTCCTTGAAACAGCTCGGTCCTTGATGCTTAATATGAATGTCCCAAAGCATTTTTGGAGTGATGTCGTCCTCACATCCTGTTTTCTGATCAATCGGATGCCCATGTCCATCCTTGGAAGTCAATCCCCCTTCACGGTGTTGTTTCCCACCTTGTCTCCATTTCCTCTCACCCCAAGAGTCTTTGGATGTGTTAGTTTTGTTCAACACTTGGGGCCTGGTTTAGA